CCACGTTGACTCGAAAAGATCCTCGCGCGGGCCAGCCGTCGGATCCCCGCTGGGGGGAAACCTGGCATTGACACAAAGGCAGAAGACCCGGGAGGTCCCAAGCACAGGAGATTCTTGCCAAGAATCTTCACCAAAAGACAGGGCATCAGCTGTAAAGTTGTACCCCTGCGAGCTCATGGGTGGCCATGGGTCAAAAGCCCGCACAGGGAACATCCCAATCCAACCACTAAAATAGGTCCTAAATGGGTGGTGAACTCACCTACCCCAAAATCGTACCATTGGTTTTGACCCACAGCCAAGTCGTGGCCCCAGCGAACATCCCGATCCCCACCAAAATAGGTTTAAAATTCACCTACCAACCAAAACGGGATCCGATCCAAAACGGTTTTGACAGACACCCACCGCCAGGTCGGCTCGAAACGGCACGCGGCACGGCCCGAAACCGCCTCCCGCAGCTGCGGCTCCAAGGTCTCGGGGGGCCGCACCACCAGCATCCCGGTCCTCGGAATCGGAGTCGGAGGCGCTCCCGCTCCGGGTCCGTCGAGAATCGGAAGAGCCCACAGGACTCGGAGGTTGCGGCTCTCTTAGTCTCGATTTAAGTTCTGAGCAGCTGCGAGTGTGCTTTTGGTGATCTGGAGAGAAGAAGCAACTTGACACTGGAACCTGACTGGACCGGAATGATGGACGATTGTCCCAATGGAACCTTCGGGTGGCGCAATGCTAAGGAGGGTTGTGACAAACTTCCGAGGCAACAAGTTCAAGCTGGGGCAACAAAAATCCGCGCCTGGAAAGCCCCCGACCCCCGAAGATCGCAAGCCCCGAACCAAGGCCGAGGCATTCGACCGGAAAAAAGCGGCCCCTTCGGAGGCCGCGGGAGGCAAAGATCGGAGGCAAATCTTTGTCAAAACTGGACTGGCAAGGATCTCACCCCGCGCCAAGGATCGTTTAATTCGCAAGCTGGGAAGGAGGATCCCCGCCCGGGTACAGGATCTGCATGGTTTTGAGCTTGTTAACTATCCCGTTAGCATCGGGCGAGCTCGTGAAAATTGTCCAGAACTATGGGATTCAACTGCAACAATGGTACAACCCCACCGTAAAATTCTATTCAACGCCTGGATGGCACCTGCATGGTTTCTACTTATTCAACTAGACTATCCCCAGCGGATCATTTAATTTCCTGAAACGGACAGCCTGGATTTGGGTCTCACCCCCTGCAAAGGGTCAATCAATTTCTACAACTAATTTGCCCTACTTCATTGTCCAAAAGGAACCCCCCTGGTTGGAGTCTATCTTTGGAAACCAACAACTGGCGATCCTGGCAAACTGAAGCTCTCCTGATGGCGCCCTTTGCGCAGGCGCTGCGGCTCAACGAGAACTCGCCTCAGCCCGCGGCGCTCAGCGCTCGGCTCTCGCTCTGAGCTTGGCTGTCGGAGGCGGAAAGGAACGGGTCACCCCAATTTCCCTCTGCCGGAAGCGCTAATTTCCCTCTGCCGGAAGCGCTCCGCTTGGTTCTGGGGAACGGGGCAGGCGACCCCTGTTCCCTCCCTCTGCCGGAAGCCTTAGAACAACATAGGGGCACCTTCCATTTCCATGCTGAACCCAGGGATCCGAATCTTTCTAGAAAACCTCCGGAACCCGAAAGAAACACGGATCTCCGGTGTTTGGAAAGAACCATGGTTGAAAAGAATGGAAAAGGAAGCAACCCCTAGAAACATCAGCGAAAACTGCGTGACATACACCATAACAAGGGTGCTGCACCCTGCTGAGGCCCAGGCAGGCCATCACTCGCAGGCCCATGGCGCCGATCCTGCGGAGAATCTGAGGTCCGTCGGTGGAATTCCGCGGAGCCCTTCCCGGAAATCCCAAAGGCGGCATTGCGGCATTGTGCGATCCGAGACCCCAAAAGGCACCCCTCAACCAAGGCTTCAAGGAGCCAATCGAATGGCCTAGTTAAATTAAAACAAACAAATGCGGCTTGCGCTGGGCCCGTGGCCCGTTGGCTCGTGTCCAATTTGCCCGAGAGGCCTCTTGGGTGCCGGTCGCGGGATGGGCTCTTCAAAGTCAACCCAGAAAGGCGAGCCCCTTTCGCCAATGGACCGGCAAGACGAAAACTAGACCACTAGAATTTGTGATTCCTTGTTCATTCCCTTAAGAGACTTTGGGCAAGTGATAAATGGCACGCCAGTCCTGCGGTACACCCGCTGCGACCGCGCATCATCTCGAATGGGATACCTCGCGCTCGCGACGCACTCAACGGGGAGTTTGAATGGGCTTGACACCTGAATGAAGGTTCCAAAACTTCTGGGTGGGTTCAAAGGAAAGCAACATAACACACTGACAAAGCTTTTGAGACATTCCTGGTTCCCCCCCATCCTTTGGTGCCGTCATCTTACCTCCAGCACGGCCAGCGCTGTGATGCAATGCATCGGGTTTCACGGACGCGTACAAGTCGCATACGCCGCAGCTTCCGCCAGGATACTCACAACAACAACAACAACAACAACAACAACAACAACAACAACAACAACAACAACAACAACAACAACAACAACAACAACAACAACAACAACAACAACAACAACAACAACAACAACAACAACAACAACAACAACAACAACAACAACAACAACAACAACAACAACAACAACAACAACAACAACAACAACAACAACAACAACAACAACAACAACAACAACAACAACAACAACAACAACAACAACAACAACAACAACAACAACAACAACAACAACAACAACAACAACAACAACAACAACAACAACAACAACAACAACAACAACAACAACAACAACAACAACAACAACAACAACAACAACAACAACAACAACAACAACAACAACAACAACAACAACATGTTTACGCGCATGCATCTTCAGCTTACGCGGGCCTCTGGTATTGCAAAACCACCCAACATGAACAGAAGGGCTTTTGGCGCAGCTCACATGTCGGGGTGGTCGACAAATTGTTCGGACATAACCCCAAAACATATGCCGCACAAAACAAAAACAAAAAAACGCGAGCCAGGTCAAATGGGCGACCCGCTTTTTGTTGACGGCCACTACAAACGAGCCTCCCTCAAGACGGAACCCTGGTCTTTGACGGCCACAACAAAGGGCGGGCCGAATTTTTGGGCCACCACAACAAACCAGCCTCAAAACGAACCCCCAGCCGGTTGTTGACAGGTCTACGGTTTCTCCAGCGAGCAACATCTTCGAAAGCGAGAGCGAGCGCGAAAGCGCACCAGATGGCCACGCAGCTCGTGGGCCAGTGGCTCTGCAGCTGCCGCAGCCTCCGGAAGGAGCAGCCCAACGCACCGAAGGCGCAGCCCAATGGGACAGCTACCGTCACAGCCCTAGCGCCCGGCTGTAGTCGTTTTTTGCAAGGCGCTAATTATTTGGGGCGCCTTCTTGTGAGGGTATCTCCTCTCTCTCTCTCCTCTCTTTTCAATGGAAGCGTGCTTGCGGGAAACTGTTTGTTGCGCACCTGCAACCTTGCAATGTCAGCTCCTCTTCATCCATCCCCGCAGCTGACATTAAAGGGTCCAAGGATTCCCCAGCAGGAATCAAAAACAGCTTCTTTTTTATCAGGGCGCATCAAACCCAAACTGCCTCCCTGCCTTTGTGTGTGTGGCACCGGATTTTGCATACAAAACACGCCCCTGGCTGGGGTTCCCCATCACACCTCCGACTCCGAGGCCCGAACAAGTGGCTCGCGCTCGGCTTCCCGGCAACCGGAAGTTCAGGTTGTCTGCGAAGCACAGCTCGTAAGGAGGGTCGATAAACACCAGAGCCCTCACACCGGGCAACACGCACGCGGCAAGAAACGAATTTTTCCCTGACCGAATTACCCTCCCACCAACCAACATGGAAGTGCAAAAAGGCCCTTTCCAAGAGCGAAGTAGTCTTTCTACAGGGTCTGTGCACTTCCATATTAGATGGTGGGAGGGTCGTTCAACTTGACACCTCGTTATGACCATTTCAGTTCCATACCCAATCTAGTTCCAAAAAAGATCCCAGCAATGCCTCCAGAAATCCTCCTATTTTTTCCGCCTTGCCGTGGCCCAAAGTTGAACCCAGCGAAGCAACGGCCCAGCAAAGCGCCGCCTCTCTGGCTGGCGTGCGAAAAGCTCCGGAAGACCCCTGGCGCCACATCGGCATGCGGCATTCGCCGAGACCCCGGCCTTATGAAGACAGCAAAAAGAAGCTCCTCCTTGATATTAACTAGGGGTTGAAAATGGTTAAAGGGAGAACCCACAAGACAACAAAGGGTTGAGAAAGGGTGCAATCTACCGAACCCTCCCCCCCTTGCACGCAAGTCCAATTCGCTGGTCACCTTGGTTCCGCAAACTGGGCCGCAAATCCATCAACCTCCTCCTGTGGCCCACTGCTGTGGGGAAACATGCCAATTGCCCAGAGCGACCCTGCTAGGAAAAAGGGGGAAAAAAAACGATGCCCAGTGACCCTGACAGCAAAAAAGAAGCTCCTCCTTGATCAACTAGGGGTTGACAATGGTTAAAGGGAGAACCCGCAAGACAGGATGTGACAAAGATGGACAATCACACCACCAAAACTTCCGAACTGGCCTCCGGGGGGTCCAGAAGTCTACCCAGCGTTTGCCATAAGCCTACTACTACTCGTGGCACACCCGAACATCACCACACCTTCCCTCAGCTTTTCCCCCAAGCCAAGCTTGAGATGCCTACAACCTTTCAACCTTTCAAAATTGAGAACCCCCAGCCAAATATGGTTGCAAGCCATATTTCAACCTTGCAGCTTTTGCAAAACACCGTCAGAATCGGGGACCCCAAGTCTCCACACCTCCCCCCCTACCTAGTATTTGCCAAAAGTGGCGCACCCGGACATCACCCTTTCCCCCAAGCCAAAACTGGGCTGCTTGATAATTAGCACCCCTCCCCCCGGCGCCACGCCTCCCCCCCCCACTCAGCCCCACCCCCCCCCCCCGACCAGATCCTCAGTCCCAGCCTGTAGGCGTCCTCCTGGCGCACCTGCCATCCGCTTCCCTCCATCGCCCACCGCAGCCGCGCCGCGCTCTGCGGCGCCGCCTCGAAGACCACCGCGGCGGCCGCCGATCCGAGGATCTGCCGCGCCAGGCGTGGGGAGCCCGGGTAGCCTCGCCGAGCCGAAAAGGGAGGGCACAGCGCTTTAAACCGGGTGGAGAGGCGAAGAGGATGGGTTTTGAAGCTTTGTCTGGTGGTGAAACAGACCGTGGCGAAAGGACACCGTTGCCGTTTTGGGGGTCCGGAATCGCCTAATTTTCGGCAAAGTGACAAGTAAACAGAATGTGGGTATTGACAAAAGATATGTATCTTTGACATATCGTAAAGTCCCTCTCTGTGTCATCTGTTGCCTTTTGCAGCATGGGATTCACCCCCTCAAGAGTGCCCCAAAGAACTTGAGCAATCCAGGCTTAGGGATCCAAAGAGCCTTGGGGACAGGTAGAAAGCTTTGCGCCTAAGTGAACCAAAAGAGCTCAATGACGGCAGTCTATCCAAACATGAGGGTCAACGCAATGTGAGGTGCGGAAAGAGCAACGACATTGGTCCAAAAGACATCCGCTAGGGTTTAAGGGGAAAAACAACTATACCCGGCTACCCAGTTGGCAGTGTAAGGGCACAATCCAACCACCGAACCCTCCCTACCAAAAAAGGGGTGAGAGGTAGGGCACCTAGCTGGGGGACCTAAGGAGAAAAAGCGCAACTGGGTCACTGGGTGTCCATCCCTCGTGCTTCGGCCCGGCTATGCCCGGCTTGCCCCGCCTTCCGAGGCATCCAGGCATCGCAGGTAGGCCGCGACGCAGCTCGGCCTCGGCGGCATCCATGCGCCCAATGGGGGGGGATGGGGGATGGGGGGGGGGACTTGTCTGACCCAGAGAACTCGCTTCCGACCGAGTGGATTCGCCCAAAGTGCCTGGACTTTTGATTAGCCACGGCTGGCACTGTTGGGGTCTTGGCCCCCAGATTGGCTGGGTAACTAGTTCGGAGTCAGGGGATATTCACTAGGAATGCCAAGAATCCTAACTGAACAGACGCCAGAACAAATACCCGGCTTCGGACTTGCACTCGGCGCACTTGTATCTGGACATGCCTGTCTGGCCATCGCAGACTTTGATTCCCGCTGGGTTGAAATCACTTCGCAGAAGTCAACACGGAACGGGAGCCGTCACTCCTTGGCCAACTGAATTGAGGATCCATGTTGGTGCGCTGGCAAAGCAATCAGGAAGCTTCCTATGCATCAGTCAGTCTTGAGTTATTCCGGGGATCCAATCAAGCAACTCTTTTCCTCAGCTTGCCCGGCATCTCATTTTGGCTGCCATGGGAAGTTCATCCGGAAGTCACCAAAGCCGACCAAACAACAGGCCCTGCAGTGAGTGTTTTTCTTTCCAAAAAGGGCGACGGTTGAAACGAATGCAAAAGGAATCCACACATAGATGTTCGGCCAACAAATGAGTCACAATCAAAACCTGGTACTAAAATGGTCTACCCAGAACCATGTACAGGATTAAGAAGGCGGATTCCCGCAGCTATTTCTGGCAAGGGCATCGTCCCTTACTAACCTTCATCTACCCAGGTTTTGAGCACGTGGCTCAAATGCGGGTTGATAATCTTCCTGGCCCCCAAATGACCATGTGGTATCCTTTCCCATGTTGTGAAAAGCATCATCTTTTCTGTGGTTCTCCCAATGGTCATCCCATGCAAAGTGGCTCTTTTTGAACAACCCCCAATCGTCCATAGCAGTCGTCCATGGTGAATAGGGTTGGGGGGTCTCGCCGAGCCGCCGCCCGTCGCGAGCTTCGGCCGCGCGCAAACGCTGCAGGTTCACCGCGTGCATCTCCTGGCGCCCGGGTACTCTGCAAGGTCACTCAGCTTCCCTCGGTTGTTGTTTGTTCCCCTGCTAACAGTGAGCAACTTTTCGTGGTTTCTGAGGGGAACACCCATGAGTTGGCAAAAAGTGAAAGTCCTAACATCCCTTGGCAACATGCAGCCATGCACCAAAGTTCCCTCGTGGAGACGACTCGGTGGTCTTTGGTCAGGGATGGGTTCCCATTCACCCTCTACAAAAGCCAGAGCCTCAATCCACATCCAAAGCATCGGGCTCCAAACCACCAACCTGACGGGTTACCGAACCCGAAAAAAGAGCATCACATGTAGAGGAACCTCCTACCAGGAAAAATTGAACAAAAGCTACAGCGGGAACTGGCAATGGTTTTCTCCCCATGCAACTTTGCCTTTAGACAGGACCCTCCTCATACTGTCCAACCCATGTAACCTTTGGGAAAATTAGATAATCCTGGCAATTGGGTCATACAACCAGTCTAAACCAGTGGAACTCTATGGATGTCTAACCAAACTAACCGATCAAAAGGACCCCTCTGGTCCAACCTGTAAATGCGAGCTCGAAAGACAACTCACAAAACTCGGCCTTTCTGCAAGGAACGCCTTCTGCCTCACCTTCCAGAAAGACTGATCTACCGTCATTTACATGCGTGGTAGGTTCCTTTCAGGATTGCTTTCAATCCCATCCGCAACCAACCCAGCAGCCAGAGCCCGACGCTCCAAAGTTGGAGCCTTTGTAAAGTTTGAGGCCCCTCACAGCTTGGCTTCCAAAAGAAACAAGTCTCACAGGCCTAGTGGCGAAACAGATTCCTGGGACCCACTGGGAAAAATAGAGCACAAGGGAACCCTTTTTTCCTTGGTCTAAAAATGCATTGCACCGGTAAACTAATCAGAACCGAAATGAATCCAGTGGCATCCATGTAATTTGAACCAAAACGTAAACGGACCAACCGTGAATGGATGCAATCCACCAGATCGGATGGGTGAAAATCCGAACTGCAAAGGAGAAGTCACCAATCCCGACTGGTGCGGAATGGACTTTGTCCGTGGCTGGAAGGCCATTCCAAACTTCTTTCGTTCCCTCGCCACAAGCGAATCTTTCAGTGGCCCAGGCAACCCCCTACGAACCCTTCTTGGAACCCCTTAGTTGCCAACTATGTATATATATATATATATATACACAAAAGGACTCGCTGCACTGAATGTAAGTCTAAGGGCACGGCTCAAAATCAAACCCCCAGGCAACGTGTGCGCCTGCGGATCGTAGATGCCAGCACCAGCATGGGTGTCCACGTAGAAAGGCGCCTGACGTGCGGTCGGTTCTACCCCTGAGCTCCGGACAGCCACCGACACCCGGGGCTTCCCGGCGATGCGTGAGCAAAATACATGCAAAACCCGGAGGGCTGCACCAGAAGTGCCTCGAAAATGCCATAAATGCCAAAGAGTTACTATCCTGCAGTGGCAACTGGAAGCACTGGAAAAACTGGGAAAGGGTAGACCCATTTTGGCCACCATCTCCGGCCCAATTTGCTCACATCTCACTTGCCCAAACATGGACATCAAGTTTGGTCTGGAAGCTCGACGGATGAAACGAAAGTCGAACACGACAGGCTCAAAAAGTGTCGCTTCGCATGGGCCTAAGCACTCAAAATTCGGACACACGGCTTTTGGTTGCCTTCAAAAGGGCCATTGGGGGGGGTCCCCCTACTTCGCAGACCTGTCTTGGGAGGTACAGACGAACCAAGCGAGAATGGGTACCATTGCCAAGGGAGGCTTTAAACACGAATTAGGCACAACAGCGGCTTCGATTTCACGGCCTCACTTGAAACCCAAGCGAAAATGGGTTCCGAATGGGCACCGAGCCTCGCAAAAGCAACTCCTTCTGTTCCCCAGGGCCCAAATTGTCGGGGGCCGTGACCAACCTACGATGTCTTTGTGGCTTCGGCCCCGGCCAATCGCAACCAAAAGCAGGCTGCGAATGACCTTCATCTATCGGCATTCCTTGAAGGCAGGGTTCGAGGAGGCTGGTTCAATGTTTTTACATCCATAGGTTATAATAAATAGCTTACTAGCCACCTAGAGTCTCCACGACCCTTCAAAAATGGTTGCTCATTCCCCAAAATCCAGGCGTCACCCCTTTTTCCAGGGGTCATGACCACTGCAGGTCTACGTCTTTAAAAGCTCAACCAACCCGGAGGCGGTTCTTCCCCCAAACCGCCGCACGTGGACGTCCAACACCCCGTGGTCGCCCCTCGCCTCGCCCTTCTCCTGGGCCAAGCTCTGCAGCAGCGCAACGAGCACCAGGTGCTTGAAGCAGTCCGCGATGCCCCCGGCCCGCGCCTCGTGCGCCTCCAATCGACCGAGCGGCTCGGCCGGGCCGAGTGGCTCGGCTCGGCTGGGGAAGCTGGGGAATCCACGCGGCCGCTTGGGCGGGACGACGAGGGGGGCTCGCTCACTTTGAGGTCTCTGGGGGAAAAAAAATGGGAAAAGGCGCATATATTACACCTGTTTTGATTGCTCTTGGATGCTAAATAGTGAGAGCCTGGCAAAACAAACCTTAAATTCACATCCCCTCTTGGTGTCTGCTCAAATTGGGGCGGGGAAAAACCACGACACAAAATGTGAACGTTGCCTCCTTGGGAGGGCCCCGGAAGCTGTTCTGCTGGCCCTTGCCCAAGGGACCGTCAGAGTCCCCATAGCTTCCAGCCGTTGGGGAAGGACACGCCTAGCTGCAGGAGCCTTAGGTTCTTGCCAGCTGGCTTGCCAGCCCGTGCGGCAAAAAAAGAGCCAAGCCCGCTTCCCAAACCCTGAGGAATGCCCGGAAGCACTGAGGCCGCCGCGTAGGGCGGCCGCTCTGCCCAGCCCGGCGCACAGCGGATGGCCTCCTGGACAGATCTGTGGGGCCTCCCCGGCCAACAGAAAAGCCTTCTGGTGCGTTGCTGCGCGTGTTGCTTCTTCATTTATAGAGAAAACCACCCGAAACAAGAGGAAGGGATGTGCTTTGCTCGATTCCAAAGGTAGACCTTGCCCTCAAAAAAACAATCCTCCAGTACTCCCTTGCTCGTGCCGTTCCTTAAACCAAAAAGCAGCAAGGCTTCTTTTAACATCCTGGCCGATCTTCCACTTGGGCCCCGCAAAAAGGAGAAGACAAAAAGCACGACCCAAAAGATCGGATTGCGAGTTGCCAGCTTGGTCCCTCTCCAGATTTTCGGCCACGGGAGGTCTGGGGCCCTCAGCCGGCTCAGCGATTCGTTGGCCCTTGAATCCAAGGCTTAAACCATTGTGAAACCAACTTCCTTTGGGTTTATCACCAGAAATTGGACCAGGGCTTTGCGACTAAACCTCTTTTTCCCACCAGAAGCCAGTTGCAGTGGGCTTGGTTCACCGCTTTTTACTCCACAAGACCCCTCCTTGCCACGTGTCAATCACGCCGTTCCCGACTCGGTCGCTTGGTTGCGCCTCTCATCCTCCTGCCCGCCCCCCCTCGGCTCGCTCGCAACGAACCGCATCCTCCAGGCAGGGCTCCAGCCAGCTCTGCGCAGCAAAGGCCCACTGCAGGTCGCACAAGTGCTGGCTCGAGAAGTCCCCCAGCAGCTCCTCCCCCAGGCCCCGTTGGCCTCCCGAGACCGCGACCGCCCGGCTGCCCATCTTTCTGACAGAAGGAGGCTCCAGCTAGGTGATTCTACAGGGAGGAAAGCCCTGCCAAAATAAGGAGAAAAGTTGGACCCCTGAAATGGCGAGCGGCTTCCTTGAGCTTCTTTGTGGTTGCGCTTCAAACTAAGCTGGAGTCTCCTCTGACCAGCATCGCAAGTGGAACCCCTGTCAAACATCAAACAAACTTTCTTTTGGGTGACTTCAAACGGGGACAGAAGGAGGCTGCAGGCAGGTGACTTGACAGGGACCCTTTCAAAGAAGGAAAAATGCGCTGGGTGGTTTACCCCAACCCTTTGCGGGGGAATTAAGTTTGCAGACTGACCCATGGCTCAAATGGACAACTGCATATTTTATGACCGAACCTCACCCCAAACCAGAAGCCAGTAGAAAAGATGCGTTGTTTTTGGCAATGTTGACCCCGGATGATTAACCCCCTGGTTGATTTTGATCGGGGGGAGTTCCGGGTTCAGTGGGACTCGTCACGATTGGAGGGGAACACCCCCCCCCCCCATTATAGTAGGCCGGGTTTAAAGTTTACCAATCCGGGGTCTTGAAAGGACACCAACTCCAAACCAGAAAGAAACGGACACCGCTGGGCGATCTAGACACTCAGCATCCGCGAGAACATCTCCCCACTAGTCTTTACCAAGAAGAGTCCAATCCCGAAATGTCCAATTCCACAATATGATTAAGAAGGGGAGTCCAATCCCACCATATGCTTGGGAGGTTTGCAGTGGCTTTGAGGGTAAGGGATCGGCTTTGGGCCAACTCTCTTGAGCCGAGGGTCGCGCATGAGGAATTGGCGAAGCGCGCAAAGGAAACCCGTTGAAATGAAATCACATTCTTTGTGCAATGTGCGACTCCCAAAAAGCGATGGATAGAGGATGTTCTGTTCTGGAACCCCCCTTTGTGGCCATGCTAGTCCGCAAAGATGTACACATTTGGAGGCCTCTGCTTTTGGAAATTCCCTGTGCGCCACAAGGGCTGAGGTTAACACTGGGAAAGAGAAAAAAAAGAAGACAAACAAAAAAAGAGAAAAAAAACGCGGGGGACATCCCGACAAACAACCTGGGGAGCTTTAGGATGCGCCAACATGTCTGCCCCCCTTCACCCCCGTAGTCTACTTTGCCTGGAGATAAAACCTAAATGTTCCTTTGAGCAGTCCCCTACGGGCTTTTCCCCGCTAATTGGTGCATATTGTGAGATTGTCGCGAGCTTGCCTCTTTCTGGACCCTTGTAAAATTGGGTCAGGATTTTTTTTGGGTTCGGGTCATGGCTCGGCTCCTTGGCCCGCGCTGCCAGCGGCTTGCGCAGGGCGTCGGCTTCATCCTTTACCTCCGGGGTCGAAATTTGGGGGGCTACCTTGTTGCCTAGCCCCCAAAACAACTACACAGGCTTTAGGGCGGCAACCCATATACGTGAAGGCTGTCTTGAGAGGACAGTCCGCATTCAAGCTGGAGAAAACAAACCAAACGTACAGCGGGAGCAAAGCCCAGCCACGCTGGCAGCCTGGATTCAAAGTGTTACGCCCGAGCAAAGCCCAATCTGAACACCATGGAAGTGGACAAAGGGCTTCCCAAAAGGAGCAGTCTTCCAAGCCCCCTTTGTGGAATGCAACTTTTCATACCTTCCCAAAAAAGAACCCAGGAGTCTTCCAACCAGCAGCTCGAGCTTGGGATTCAACCCAGCGCCTCCGCCAGGGCCATGGCCGCGGCGCAGTTGGCCAGGCCCTGGGCGTCCAGCTGCGGCGCCAGCTGGGCCTCGCGCGCGCGCTCGTCCGCGCGCGATGCACCCCGCGCGATGCACCGCGGGGGGCGCCGGAGACTTTCTTCGGGCAGCGCGGAGTTCGTTTGTTGGGTTGGTACCCGTCTTTTTGTTGGTGATTTTGACGGGGAACCAAGAGGAGAACCGAAATCCAGTCTGGGTCAGCAGAAAAATAACTTTCCCAAATGGGTATGGCTCGTGAAAGTGGGTTGGACGCCCCCCCCCCCAAAAAAAAAAGGCCAGCCTTGTGGTTTCTTTGTTGCCTTGTAAATTAGCCAGTTTCCATGTGACCTTCAACCGGATATAATATACCACAATGGAAAAAGCTTACCTTGCAGCCGTATCGAAACACACAATCAAAGCTACTCAATCTACGAATCTACTACGTAGGTGCTAAGATGGGAACATAGAAAGCGTGAGAGACTTCTCATCAGTAAAATCGGATGAGGATAGAAATAAGTTCAATATGTTCACGACCGGCTGTTTCCCTTGGTTAATCTAGCCAAAAAAACATATTCCTGGTAAGAAAGTCCGCGTGTCCCTTCGGTCAAACAAACTGAAACCGATTGTTGGGCTCGCACAAGGAACTGGCGGCAACTCACCAGAACGAGATGGAGATTCAAAAGTTGTTGCAACTCGGTGCTTTATGTTGCGAAGGCTTCACATCTCTTGTATCAACATCCTGTGTCCAATCGATCGGTCTCAAAAGTGATGTCCAAAGCCACCAAACATGGACATGTAGGGGGGGGATAGCCTGAGACAAATGCCCAGATCCCCCAAATCCCGCTGGGAAAGGCGACAGCTTACTTTTCCCCCTCCATACATGATCTCCCGATCTGGTGGTTATTCAGAAAGAACAAAGCAGCCATGTGCTATTTGGGTTCGTCTCAAAGTTGGGCTGGACCTCCGCCCCCCCCCAAAAAAAACAAAACAAAAATGACTAAAACTGCAGTGTTCGAACCTTTCAACCAAACCAAAAAGGGTACCAACCGACTGCCGCTTGCCCGGGCGGATTTTCTTATCCTCGTCCGAAGGGCAGACCTCTCCGCCAGTTTTCCCATGAGCTCTGGCGGCATCACGTCCCCCTGGCCGACTCCGATGGGGGACACCCCAAGTGCCCTGCATGCCTGTCCTCGGTTTGGTCTCCCTTCAACAATTGGGCGCCTCAAGCAGCACTTTGCCTAAGGTAGATGAAGTTCCGAGGGTAAGGAAAGGACCGAGAACTTAAAACCCCTCAATTGACTCAATGGAGCAACTCCGTTGACTTTCACTGGAAAGGGTCCCACAGTGCCCCACTGGGCGCAAAGAAATTCAGGGGATTCCAACCCCCCTCCCCTGACCCCTCACCACCCGGTTTTCCAAATAAGGCAGGGGGGCGGGGGTTGGAATCCTTTGAAACTTATGCTTCGTCGACGGGATCAGCCGGAATTCATGCGCCGAACCCAAAAACCTAGAATCCTACAGAAAGCCAACTGTTCAGCATCTCCCACCCTAACGCGCCAAAAAAAAACTAGAGCACGATTGGCCCGAAAGCATTTTTCCACAGGTGCTCATCCAGCCGCGGAGACACCTTTTTACATCGCTGCGGCGAGCGTGTCTGCGCGCGGCGATGCTCAGTGTGTATGGTCACATGAGAGCTCCATCTCATCATCCTACTTTCCTCTCGAACTGCGCCGCGCGATTTCTCACGAAAGTGGTCTGCGCAAGCTGCATTGTTCCAGGCTGCTGCGCGCAAGTTGCTCTCTGCAAGCTGCTGCGCGCAAGTGCTCTGTGCAAGTTGCTCTGCGCAAGTGCTCTGAGCAAGTTGCTCTGCGCAAGTGCTCTGCGCCAGTTGCTCCGCGCAAGCGCTTTGCGCATGTGCTCTGCGCAAGTTGGTCTGTGCAAGTTGCTCTGCGCCTGCTCTGTGCAAGTTGCTCTGCGCAAGTGCTCTGAGCAAGTTGCTCTGCGCAAGGGCTCTGCGCCAGTTGCTCCGTGCAAGCGCTTTGCGCATGTGCTCTGTGCAAGTTGGTCTGTGCAAGTTGCTCTGCGCAAGTGCTTTGTGCAATTGCTCTGTGCAAGTTGCTCTGCGCAAGTTGCTCTGCGCAAGTGACTCTGCGCAAGTTGCTCTGCGCAAGTGCTGCCGGAGCTGCGGGGGTGTGCTCCGCGTACTACGTTTGTACTTAAAAATTGCGATTCTCCAGCCGGAGCTGCAGGGGTGTGCTCCGCGTACTACGTTTGTACTTAAAAGTTGCGATTTTCCAGCCTGAGCTGCGGGAGCACGCTCCGCATACTACGTCTGTACTTAAAAATTGCGATTTTCCACCCGGAGCTGCAGGAGCACGCTCCGCGTACTACGTTTGTACTTAAAAGTTGCGATTTTCAAGCCGGAGCTGCGGGGGTGTGCTCCGCGTACTACGTTTGTACTTAAAAGTTGCGATTTTCCAGCCTGAGCTGCGGGAGCACGCTCCGCACCCTACGTCTGTACTTAAAAGTTACGACTTTCCAGCCGGAGCTGCAGGAGAACGCTCCGCGTACTACGTTTGTACTTAAAAGCTGCGATTTTCAAGCCGGAGCTGCCGCGGACCAGGGGGGAATCGAACCCGCTACCGCAGGATTGCGAAAGCAGGCGCGCAAACCACGAGACAACTTCCAAAGGCCGTTTCGCGAGCAAGAATATTGCACGGCGCCACAGCGAGAGCGCACGCACAATCTCCGCACAGGGTTCGCCGAGACTAAGACAAATTCGCACGGCGCCACAGCGAGAGCGCTTCGACGCGCACGATCTCCGCAGAGGGTCGCGCGCACACCGCAGAAATCGTAAAAAGTCCACAGTTTTTGAACCTCGCCCACGCGAATCTCCGCAGAGGGTCGCGCGCGGCCAGCAGAAATCGTAAAAAGTCCTCAGTTTTTGAACCTCGACCACGCGAATCTCCGCAGAGGGTCGCGCGCGCATGCTAAAAATCGTAAAAAGTCCTCAGTTTTTGAACCTCGACCACGCGAATCTCCGCAGAGGGTCGCGCGCGCCATGCTAAAAATCGTAAAAAGTCCTCAGTTTTTGAACCTCGACCACGCGAATCTCCGCAGGGTCGCGCGCGCATGCTAAAAATCGTAAAAAGTCCTCAGTTTTTGAACCTCGACCACGCGAATCTCCGCAGAGGGTCGCGCGCGCTGCTAAAAATCGTAAAAAGTCCTCAGTTTTTGAACCTCGGCGAATCTCAGAGGGTCGCGCGCATGCTAAAAATCGTAAAAAGTCCCCAGTTTTTGAACCTCGACCACGCGAATCTCCGCAGAAGGTCGCAATCCCGAGCGACGATCAAACTCCCGCCCCGGCGCCTTAGAAACCTAAACTAACTTACATAGCTGCTAACGCCGAAGCTCTAAGCTCTATGTAACTTGGCTCTATGTAACTTGGCTCTATGTAACTTGGCTCTATGTAACTTGGCTCTATGTAACTTGGCTCTATGTAACTTGGCTCTATGTAACTTGGCTCTATGTAATGTAACTTGGCTCTATGTAACTTGGCTCTATGTAACTTGGCTCTATGTAACTTGGCTCTATGTAACTTGGCTCTATGTAACTTGGCTCTATGTAACTTGGCTCTATGTAACTTGGCTCTATGTAACTTGGCTCTATGTAACTTGGCTCTATGTAACTTGGCTCTATGTAACTTGGCTCTATGTAACTTGGCTCTATGTAACTTGGCTCTATGTAACTTGGCTCTATGTAACTTGGCTCTATGTAACTTGGCTCTTTGTAGCTTGGCTCTATGTAACTTGGCTCTATGTAACTTGTCCAAGGGCTCCGCACGGAAGAACCCTTCGCGATGCTTTCGGGAAAAACACCGACGTGTCAACGCCTTGTTCTGCTGTGGGTGCCGTGTATGAAAATTGTTGGCATGTGCATTGGGCACCTCTCTGAATCACAAGGTCGGGGCTTTCCTCAAGTATAGGCCCATATGGAGGTTTAAGAGGCGCTACTCAATTGGGTTGCGTGGCTGTAACTTGCTTTCAGGGCACCTTTGCTGGGGATTCAAGAGGAGCCAAGCCTTTTGGGGTTTCCCCATTGTTTGACATGCTCATGTCCTGAAACGGCTGCTTTCCTTCTCGATCCCGTCCAGTTGAAACACCCACTTCTCCTCAAAGTGCTCAGTGTTTGTAACCGAAACAACCGCCAGTTCCAACGTACGGTGGTTCAAGGTCGAACCAAAGGCACCCCCCAAATTCAATTTAATCAACCAGAGGTGGTCTGTTCCGGGGTCAACATGAGGATGAGCCCCGTCTTGTCCATAATGTTAACGCTCACCAAGACCTCCAAAACGGGCCCGGCTTCCCTTGATTCGGTTCCCTTACGCACACCCAAGGACCAGGCTTCCAACTGCAGGCTTAAACAGCCTCAGGCCACGGCTTGAAACAACGAGGCTTCTGCAACCAAGAAACACCTCTCGTTTAAACCACATCCTTTTTGGCTCCGCCCGTTTTTTGCTTTTTTCTCCGTGTGGCCAGGGTCTCGTTGACCAAAAAAACCCAAGGCGCTCCGACCTCGGCCGCGGTTCGCGCCTTGGCCAAGGCCCAGATGAGCATCTCCACGTCCCGCGGGTTCAGCGACGCCACGTCCCGCTCCTGCGCCTCCGATTTTTCGGCAGTGGGTAGGCGGAAATGGACGCTGGAGTCTCCTTCTGACCAAACGGGTAATGACTTCATAAAACTGGCTGAAACGACCACCCCATGACCCTTAGACTTCATCTGTTGATGACTCCAGGAAAAATTGGCTGAAACGACCACTGGAATCTCCTTCTGACCGAACGGGTAATGACTTCATCTGTGAAAATGACTCCAGCTGGTCATACAATTGGCTGAAACGACTGGAGTCTCCCTCTGACCCTTCGGCAATGACTGCTGTTGATGACTCCATCTGGTCATGGCTGCTTCTTGGGGTTCTTGTACCAAGGGCCTCAGACAAAACCCACACCCATTGAGAGCCCTTCTGGAAATCCCGGTCCCTTCCGGTTGGAAACCATCACCGGGCTTAAGACGGCTCGCGTCTCTAGGATACTACGGCTTGCCACATGCAGGGTGGTCCATGGGTATGTCAAATCCTACAGTGGAAGAGGAATCCGACATTGTCTTCGGGGAAGTCATCTAAATTTGTTCCACTAAGGTAGGCTGAAGTGCACTGAAGTGGGCAAGCAATGGAACTGAAGAAGAGTTGTGAGATTAAAAGCTTAAATTGGACTTGGGCTGTTCTGGGAAAATGAAAGAGAACACCCTCATCTTGCAGGTGCTCAGCGGGGAATAAGAAATGGAATGACCCCGAGAACAATCCCATCCTTTCAGGGAGGCCAATTTCAGACGCTTCATTCATTCCTCAGGGCACCCCTAAACGCTTCATTGATTCATTTCCACATGGTTTATCCAACTGGGTGTCCTTTCAGGGGACCCGGTCACCCCCAGACGCTTCAATTCATTTCCTCAGGGGACCCCCAAACCCTTCATTCATTGAACCACCTGGTTTACCTGTCGCACCAGGTCATATGGGTGTGGCTCACAATTAAACAGGAGGGGCAAACAGCAGGTTTTGGTACCCATGTTTCCACTTCCAAGGGCAAGTTCCATTTTGGGGTTACCCGGTTTTTTGTTCAGCCACGGCCATATCTTCAGGTGGCCATAAACCAAAGGCGAAGACAAATCGGCCGCGGGCACCGGAAGTCTTCGCCTCGCCGGCGATGTCCCGCAGCCTTTGGTTCAGCTCCTGGGATCGGGGAGTCGGTCTTTGGAACCTCAACAAGGCGGGATTTCCGGGAGAAAACCTGGGGGGGGGCGTGGATTTACACGAAAAAGGGGGGGGGGGAGAGAGCAAACCTGTTGTTTTTGCTGCTGCTGAAGGGAGAAAACCAGCCTCAAAAACCAAGGAGAACTCATGTGTGTGTGCTTGTATCCGGCAGTTGAGTTTACGAGGGAACCGCCCTCCTACAACAACTTGCTGGTGCTCAGCAGGGAATGAGGCAATGAACCCAGGGATTCCCTTACAGAAACCACCAGTTGGATATAGAAGAGGGAAACGACTTGAGGTCACTGGGAGAGACCCTCCTCCCACGCGCGCGCGATGCGCGATGCGCGCGCAACGCGCGCGCGGCCGCGGCGGCCGAGGCACGGCCCGGGCGAAGGCCCAGGCGAGCTTCGCCAGGTTGGGCGCGTCCATGGCGCGCACGCGGGGCGCGGCCGCGGCGGCCAGCTCCGGGAAGGCGGCGCCTGCCGAAATCCCAACGCGGGGTGGGGGGCGGGGGCAGGTTGGGGGTGGGGAGGGGGGGTAGAAGGTGGGGTGGGGAGGGGGGGTAGAAGGTGGGGTGGGGAGGGGGGGTAGAAGGTGGAGGGTGGGGGGTGGGGGTTGTAGCTGGAGTCTCCTTCTGAATCAAAGATGGGTTGCCCCTTTCTGTCTTACCTTTCAAATGGTCGTGGAGACTCCGGGTACACATCGTGTTGTTTTGGGGGGATGGCCCTGCTGGATCCCTAATTAAGGGTGTCCCATTTCAAAAGCAGTTTTTCCTTCACGTTTGGAAAAGAAGAACATCTGGGTCCGGTATGGACATTGCCGAAGGGATCGAAACCCTAGCGTGTTGCAGATTCCTCTTGGGTGCCCCATGCTCCTGCGTAGCCTTGTGCAAGTAAGACTTTCAGATGAGACTTACAACGGGTACGTCTCTGGGCACTTGACACGTTCCTCAACACCTTCCGCGGCGCTTAGTTCAGCAACCACGGTCGCCAAGCACGGAGAAGCGAAGAGAGACCACGGTGCGCATAGTTCCGATGGGTTTTCTTAGCACTTTAACCTTACACTTGGTCCCTGCAACCTTGGAACAAAACCACTAGTTGCCGTGACAAGCGTATATACTGCTGGAAGGTGTTCTGGTTTCTTGGTAGCTTCCCTTGCCCTCACTAGACACCAGCTGCGTTTAATATTGTTGCCCAATATACATTTCATGTCACCACGCTAAGTCATGGCCTGTTTGTCTTTTTAGGCGCTCAGAAATGTTTGGCGATTTGGTGCTTCACCATGTTCATGGCAGAGAGCGAGGATGCCATTTCACCCAAGGCTTGCTGTATTTGTTGCGCGGGTCTCCCCCACCCCACCCCACCCTCCCACCCAACCCCACCCACTTTTCCCCACCCACCCACTCCACCCACCGCGCCCACCCCGCCTTCTCCCAAACTGGCGAAGGCCCAGCACACCCGCGCCAACCCCGCCGCGTTCAGCTCCGGCACCACGGCCCGCGCCCGCGCCGCCATCGCTCTCAGCAGCACCTGGCGCTCAGCTCCGCCACCGGCCGAGTGCACCAAGAACGAGAAATTTGGGAAGTCTCGTTCATATATATATATATATATACATATATATATATATATATATATGGTACCCCCAGGTTTTGGGGGGTGGGGGGGATACCATCAAAAAAATACACCACACCACGGCTACGAACCATGACGCAGCATCATAATGGTTCCCGCGGCATGATGATGATGTTGACAGCATCATGATGATGCGCACAGCATCATGGTGATGGCAAGGGCAGCATCCTGATGATACCACAGCCACGAATCATCTTGCGACAGTGTATTGAAATTCAGCGTCATCCTGATGTTGACAGCATTGTGCCCGCCACCACACCCACGAACCATAACGCGGCATCGCAGCGGTGTGGGCGCATATGGATGGCAGGGTGCTAGGGCGGGTGCTGTTGTCGTGGTTGTCGCATCACCATGATGCTGGCCGCAGCATCATGATGCCGTCCGCAGCATCATGATGCTGTTGAACCGATTCGGACGTTGTGACGTTATTGCTGCCCTAACTGTCGCGCGTAATGATTTATGACTGGTGTATCATGATGATGTTGTCAACCACGTCATGATGCTGCTGCAATCGCCACCAACACCCGAAAACAGCAGAGCACCCGCGCCAGCACCGGACACGTCCACGAGCACCCTGCCGTCACGTACTGTCACCAGCGGCCATCAATCTTGCAAGAATGCGCCTGCACCATCACCAGCACCTCACAAACAGCACCCAAACTGAGCGCCCCCCCGCTGTCCATCAGCGCCTTAAACAGCACAGGCACCAGCACCTTAATCAGCGCCGCAAACTGCATGCCCCCTAGAACCCGGCCGTCAGTTTCGCAAAGCGGCACCTCCACCAGCACCCGAAACTGCATGACCCTTAGCGCCCGGCCGTCAATCTCGCAAAAAAGCACCTCCACCAACACTCCAAACTACACGCCCCCCATCTCGCAAAGCGGCACCTCCACCAGCACCCGAAGCTGCATGGCCCCTGGCACCCGGCCGTCAATCTCGCAAAGCGGCACCTCCACCAGCGCCCGAAACTGCATGCCCCCCAGCACCCCGCCGTCAATCTCGCAAAGCAGCACCTCCACCAGCACCCCAAACTACATGACCCCTAGCACTTGGTTGTTAAGCACCTCAAACCACTCCGGACCACCGAGCAGCCCTCGCAGAACCTCGTGGAACCCTCATGGAACCTTACCTTGCCCCCTGCTGGTGGAATTCTGGTGGAACCCTCATGGAATCTTACCTCAAACCAGGAACCCTTGTGGCTGGTGAAACTCTGGCAGAACCCTGCTGGAAAACTGGTGGAAACCTTGTGGAACCTTACCTCAAACCACCCGGACTTGCAGATGGTGAACCCTGGTGGGACCCTGGTGGAAATCTGGTCGAACCCTGGTGGAACCCTTGTGGAACTGTTGTGGAACCTTCCTCAAACCAGCCCGGACCACCCCGCAGCCCTCGAAGAAATTGCTGGAACCCTGGTGCAACCCTCGTGGAACCTTACCTCAAACCACCCCGGACCACCCCGCAGCCCTTGCAGAATGTGGTGGAACCCTGGTGGAAACCTCGTAGATGGTGGAACCCTGCTTGCTGGAACCCTGGTGGAACCCTTTAGCTCAGGGTCGCCCCGAACCACCCCGGAGCCTATCTGGGCTGAGACCCCAAAGCTTTCAGCTGTTGGGGAATAATGCAACCCTACCTCTAGATTCCCTTGGTTTTTCTCCAAAAAACAAGTAGAGAGAAGTCTGGTTGGGGAAAGGACCCCCTTTTGTTTCTTCCGTTCATGTGCAGGTGGTACCTGCAAGTGTGTGCACCTCCCTTCCAAATCAACATAGAGCCCCCCCAAAAATCACCACCAAGTAGAAAAGGCTTCTCTCGAGCAAATATTCGGGGTCCATTTAGGCCGGAATATGGCTGTGGCTTAAAAAAACCAAGCGGAAACATTGACCAAAACCTGCGTGACCCCTCCTTTTCAATTTTGAGCCACACCCAGGTCCTTCAGTAGAGAGGTTAGAATATTTTAGTAGGGGAACCCAACACCAACCAAAAAGCGTTGGGTGAGAGAGCTGGCACCGAGCTGGGGACCTAGCACATCAATCTCACGGATGCGGATAGGCGCTCGCTCGACCGCGCCTGGTCCGCCGCCTCCAGCCAGGCGAAGGCCCACACGGTGCTCGCCAACTCCTCGCGGGAGCCGGCAGGCGGCTCAATCTTGAGGGTAGAAATGAGCATTGATATGGTAGATTAGATATTATTGTAAATGAGCATTGATAGATATTGCAATCTTCTTTTTGCAACTAGATTAGATATTGAATTGATATGGTCATGGCGAGGTGTCAAGTTGAACTGGCAGTGGGTCAAAGCCAATGGTAATGACCTTTTTTTTTGGTACACCACCCATTTTAGAACCTATTTTAGTGGGGATTGGGATGCTCACTGGGGGAAATGGGAAGCCACAACTCCGCTGCTTTCTGATCCCCGGCTAAAAGTGATTAACTTTTGGTGGTTTTAGGGAGAAAACCCATTAGCTGGCAAAAAGTTAAAGTCCTAACATCCAAGCAAAATGCACCAAAGTACCAATCTTCACAACCAGCAACCACCAACTAGGAGGAAGCTGATATTGTGTGCCCAAGGAATTGCATCATCGAAATTGGGGGCCATTGCCTTTGCTTGAATGGGGGTTTGACCCCGTTGAACCCTACTGTGGATGGAGAAAATCCAATTCGCACGTGCTTCATTCCAGTATTTATGGGGGTCATCCATCCCAACATCCAAGCCGGACCGGATTTTGTCCAGCCTGTCTCTCAGTCTTTGCCCATGAGTCCCTTTAGGCTTCCCTGTAAAGGCCACCCACAAAGGGTTCAAGAAAGACATACCCATTTGTATTCCCTGACGTCCCTGACCACAGGAAATCAGACCCTAAAACCACGCGAGGCATTGGTTAACAGGGATTTTGGCCTTTCAAACTGCTAAACAACGGGTAAAGGTCACACACACGCGGAGGGTCATAGCAGGTTAGTGTGTGTTACCCTATGGCCAGCTCACGAATCCATGTTTTACCAGGATGTTGAGGGTGATATATACCCACGTTTTCCCCCGGGTATTTCCGCTTTCTTTGAGATCGAGTGTTTTGCTTGGTTGTCCCAATGTGACATTCCTCTGGTGATTTCAGGGCAAACCACTGCTCCCTTTTTAACTTCAAACACTGCAACCACTTTAAGCAGGTACATGGATTTGGGAATGGACCATTCTAGTCTCGTTTCTGGTAGTTTCAAGGGAATCCTGCCCCAAAAATTGGAGAACCAGTTCAATGCAACCACTGCAATTAAGTCAACTCATGCACGGATTCGCAAAAAATCCAACAACCCTGAATAGGGTACCAAAGAAACTGGTTTCCCTTCACAAATAACCAACAACACCTTTTGTGCACCATTGTTCTCCTCCAATATAGGGTGCCATCTTTTGACTCACCCCAACTCAATGGACTTGGGCTTCGTCTTTCCCGGATCGATCCTGGGCTTCGAAGTGGTTTGCCTCCGCAAGGAACTTGGAGCGCAGCAACTGCATCAACGGCCAGCAGGCCACATCTGCCTATCGCTTTCTCGATCGAACTGGGGGTCGGCACGGCAGGGGGTGACAGGACGCAGCCCACCGCTTTGTTGGGGGGAGTTGTCTTTTTGAAGGAGCTGTTGTTTGTTGTAAGGGGGGTCCTTGTTTTGGTCATAAGTCGTTGGTGGAGATTTGTTGGGAGCATATATACAGATTCCAACAAGCGGCTTGTAAATGAAACATGAACCAAGCAGAAATCAGGGGACTTGCTAAAAAAGGTCAACCAATTTGGACCAATCCGAAGCCCGTTGAATCCCATCCCAATTCTCAATCTGTTGCAGATTGAGGGTTCCTTTTCTGTGTGGTTTTGATCACGTGTTAAAAGGAAACACTTTAATGGGATATTACTGAAAACACTGTCAATATTTAGCTACACTTTAGAGGGATGTGTTAGGACCCTTCTAATGCAATATAAATACAAATTCTGAGGAACTGTGGCTGGGCAGAGCCAAGTTTTCCAAAATTGTGGGTAAAAGTATTTTCCCGTTTGAGGATGAGTGTCGCTTGAACCCTGCTGTTTTTTGAGGGTACTTCGTTTGGTGTTTCTCAAATAAGGGACTAAAGTCAAATACCAATTTTCCACCCCACCCAAACAGCCCCAACGTGGTCCACCAATGGTCTGGCAAGTGGCCTCTAGCTATGGTGGGTCCTTCTGCGAAGTCACATTATGGGAAATGGAAGCCACGGAGGCTCGGCGTGTCAAAAGGGACAGCTCGCAAAGAATGTTGTGGAAACCAGCTGAAAATGTGTCTTTCTGTTTGCCAATACATTTGTTAAGGAGGACACGTTCGATGGTACATATTTGCGAGAGGGTGCAGTTTGTTTTGCCAGGGAGCAAAGAGCCACCTTTCTTGGAGGTTCCAACACATTTGGAATCTGAATTATCCCCACACCGAGCCTTGGCAAAAGCCCAGGCCGCATTGCCGGCGTCTTGCCTGAGGCAAAATTTCGCCGGGGCCTCGTAAGCAAAACATGAATTGGGGTGTTCACTGAAGGCACGGTGTTCAGCGCTTAAATGGCCATGGATCAAAATCCCGTACCCCCAGTGAACATCCCAATCCCCATTAAAATAGGCTAAAACGGGTGGTGAATTCACCTACCCCAAAATGGGATCCCATTGGTTTTGACCCACAGCCATTTTGGGGGGTCACTCTATGTTGACACTTACCCGAGCAGGATCCCGCAGCTTGTCAAATCAAAGGGTACCAAGCCCGACTCAGGTGTGGCATCCTGTCGCGAAGAGGGAAACCATCGGCTCCAGTGCGATGCGTTTGTCAAGTTTGTCAACTCCGCTTCCTGCGAAATTAATTTTGCTCTCTCCTGTAAAACACCCCCCCAGTTTCGGCGAAGATGCCAGGTCTGCCCAACAAAACCTCTTTGCATCATCGAACAAACCAAATCTCCTGAAAGGCAAGTGAGGAGTGCCGAGTGCCGGCGAATGGCAAAAACGGGGCCAAAACTCAAACCCGGCTTGGGCGTCCCCATCCCATTCTTACCCCCAAACACCTTTCCCCCCCAAAACAACACCATTCCACCAAAAAAAACATGTTCCCCCTCAAAACCAAAAAAAAGAAGAAAAAACAACACGCGGCGCCTTTTTCGCCTTTTCCACCTGCTTCCCCCCGCGTTATCCCCGACGCGATCGAGGCGCCTGCTGAGAATCCTTGCCGTGGCCAGGCGCCGCGCCATGCCCGCCATGAGCTCCGCGTCCCGCAGCTGCGCAAAAAGCGACACGAGCTCCGCGAGTCGGGTCGATGGGAGGAAGTCGAGTGGTGATGAGAACACCTTGGGAAGTAGATGAAACAAAAAGACGCCATTGTTTGGAATTCTTGTTAGGAACATGTTGGGAATTGTATTAAAACAAATCCGCGACAGCCAGTATTGTTGGGAAGGATATGAACTTTATGTTATGATGACACCCAAGTGTTATAATTGCCTAGCCATCATAGCAAAAGATAGAGATTGAATACATGTATGTGTTGCTTTTAAGAGGCGTTCAATGGCGTTCAATTATTTTGGCAGGATGAAACCAACGCTTGGAAAGCTTGTGTTGGTTTCTTTCGGGAAAATACAGGATTGCTCGCATTCGATCCAGGCGAGAGGTGAAGAGTGAAAACCAAAGCATCATTGAAATGTCCCGCTCAAACTCTACAGTAACCATAATCAAACCTGGTTTTGACGTTCTCCCGTCCCCCCCCCCCAAAAACAAAAACCAAACTCAACATGCTTAAAAACCACCTCCCCCATCCCCCCCAAAAAAAATACATAAATGTATAACAACATAAAATAAACAACAAAAAACATGTAATTCGCATTTCCCCCTCCCCCCCCCCATGGAGGCAGGCGGCCTGGACCTTCGAGAAGGCCCAGGCGAGGTTCACCAGCTCCTCACACGGCTGCTTCCACACCCGCCGGGAACGGGCCCCCACGTGGGTGAAACGATCCTTGGGCTGGCGGATCCAAAAAAAAACACGTTTCAGGTGTTGGGTGTGTTTTTTGCTTTTTGGACGAAAGGGACACAAATCGGGCATGGTGCTAAACAAATGCAGAACAGCGTGGAGGGCGGTGGGTAGGTCGTGGATGGCAGGCAGGTACCAGGGCATTGTTGAGATCCAAGCTTTCTCACTTGTGGGTTCTATGGGTTCTAAGTAGCGACCCTGTGGTGGGCATCGAAAGGGGATTTGTGTCCCGAGCATGTTTCCCATGTGAATGCATTGCCACTTGGGTCTCTTTAAATCGAGGACCCCCCCAAAAACAAACGTGGGTTCCCCCTTCTCCCTTTGAATGAACCACCTTTTGGGGTACGCACGTGTTCAAGGGGGTGAGGGACCTAAGGGTTGACTCCATTGAATATATGCTTCATTAAACTCATTGCTAGATAATATTCACAAGGTGAACTATGGTGAAACTCGTCACTTGGTGAGATGCGCTCAAACGCGTTGATATTTACAATATCGACCCGATTGGCCCCCTTTTTGTTGCTCCTTGCTCTCCAGGGACTCCGTGCGCAGCTTCGCCTCGCGGGCGATGGCTGCCACAGCCTCTGGCTCCTCAGCTTGGCTTCATCTCTTGGCTTCCTGGGCGCCTTCCATGGCTTGGCCTCGAGCCCAGGAAAAAAACCACTGTACGCGGGAGCGGTGTGGGTTTGTGGGCTTGGCCTGGTGGATTTTAGGGTTGAAACTGCAGCAAACCCAGTGGATCAGTGACTGATCAGTCCTGCTTTTTGAAAGGTGGCTGGCTCTCTTGGCACTGACTGGGTGTGCCTTTGTTTCTTCAGGATTCCTTCCATTCGATGGTGTAACATGGCCAGTCAAAGAGGTGTCCCAGTGTTTGGTTTGCAAATATAGCAACTAAGGACAACGGGTTGACGCCAAGGATCTTGGTCTCTCTGCCCCCACTGAATAGGTCGTTTGGATGAAGAGGGAACAGGGTGTGTGGATGTCCTGGGTTTTCGTGTTCTTGCTTGGTGCAAAGCTGTAAACCGTAGTGGGACACCTCTATAAGGGAGCCCACTGGTACATAAGGACCAAAGGATTGATTTTGAACACCCCTTGGTTTCCCTTTTGCAGTGATGCCAAGGGTTGCCCTTGCTCCTTGCTATAGTGGTCCCATGTGCCACGTTTTGGCTGGAACCACCCTTAAACACCAAAGGGTAAACGGCACAAACCACCCCGAAACACAACATCCAAGGGGCCCAGACCACCCTTGACAAAACAAGCTGAGAATGGAAACTCACCACCGAACCGACAGGTAACCAACAAGGTGCAGAACCACTCTGAAACACCAATGGGTGTGAGTTTGAATGTTGGGCCTTTTGGTGGACATCGAGTTTCAGTGGGGATTCATTTCCACCAACCAACTCTCAAAAATATCCCTGCTATATATAACACGCAACCGGCTATGTCGCCAGATCCTCCCCCACGACCTCTTCATGAAACCACCGAAATGGCGGTGAACTCACCGCGCCACGCGGGCCGCGGAACTATGCCGGGCGCCCGGGCGCCCAACTTGGCCAACGCCCAGGCCAGCACCGAGAGCTCCTTGGACCCCAGCGCCCCGTCCGCCGCGATGCGCCGCAGCGCGCCGCGCACCGCGGCGTCGGAAGCCGCCGCGGCCGACGCGGGCGGCGCGGGCGGCGCGGCGCCCTGCGGCTTCGGCGTTGGCCGCCAAGGGTCCGTATGGGATTTCCCGTCTTCACAGGGCGATGTCTGGAACACTCTATAGTTGTCTGATGTCTGGCCAAATCGAGAACAGCGTTGTTTCCGCCCAAAAAACAGTGACTATGAATCAAGTCAGAAATCCCATGGGACCCTCAGGTGAGGAACGTTTCTTTGTAATTCTTGCAAGATTCCCGTTGCGTGGTGGTTTCAAATGAAACGGCTTCCCTTCTAAACCAACCTCCCAAAAAACATGGGGGTGTCATTTTGTTAGGGGACCCCAACATGATCTTGTACTTCCTGTCAGTTTCCTTTTGACTTTTTGACACCAACCCAAAAAGGGTAGCCCTAAAACACAAAAAGACCACATGCCCCCCTTTTCCCCCTTCCCTTGTTTATCAACCTTGCAACGATTCTCCTCTTAGTGTCATTTTCACCCCTCCTTCCCAAACCAACCCCCAAACACAGGGCTTCGTTCGCCCCAAGTTGCGGTGGGTCCCGGTCAAGCGATCCACGGGTTCCCCTCGCCTGGCTCGCCTGGACCAGCGTCCAGGCCAAAGCCGTCAAGTCGTGGCCCGCCAAGCGCGGCGCCTGCGCCGCCGCCTCGGGCGGCTTCGGCGTCGTCAGGGAAGCGCCTGGATGTTCCATGGATGTCGTGTCTGCCTTTTTGGGGGCAAGCTTTTCTTTGGGTGGGTTTCAGTTAAAGGAAAAACACGTTTGGGGTCTCACAAACTCAGTCAGCCAAACACACACCAAATATCGTTGGGAAGGTTGCCGAGTCTTGCAGCAGACGTGTCTGCAGCCGGTTTCGTAGATCGCGACCGAGTCTCATCTTCGGAAAAAGTGTTGAGGCACCTCCAACAGGAGGGATCCAACTTGAATTTCCACGGGGAGCGGTTTGTTTTCCCTTTATAGGAAAGCATCTCAAGTGCACCAGGATGCCAAACGGGTGTAGCAAAACGAACGGCAGCCCCGAAGTGGTCGTTCTCCTTTGGCCTTCGCCGGGCAACTGCGACGGGGGCCGTTTGATTCGGAAAGAAGCCGGGGCCCGAATCATGCTCACTCTCACACTCATGCTCATACGAGTCTAGTTGATTTGATTCTAAAACTAAGGGCCTGTGGAACGTATTGGCTTCCTGTTGGTTTCCCTTGAAGCACCATCTGACTTGGTTGCCTAGATGTTTCTGAACGTGGCTAGAAATTTCACAGCTTTTTCTATTGAATTTCAAATTCAAAATCATCAGGTTGAATCGGTTTCTCCAAACTCTAGTCTTTTAAACTCCTAGTCGAAAACGACCAGTTTGAAGCCTTTTGGTCAAATTCCAGCTCGGGAGCCTTTGCTTTTCCAAATTCTGGCTCGGGAGTTGTTTTTGCCATTTGAGCAGATCAACGCGCAGGTCATGTTCCCTTCAAGCATCACACCACGAAGGGACCCCTTGTCCAACTCCCAAAAATAAACACGTCCAAAACCCTGGTAATGGGTGTTGAAACCACTAACCAAACAAGAAAACAAGTCGACAAACGAAAACTCACAAAACTAGGGTCATGACCCCTTATTTTGGCGGACACATAGCGTAAAAACTTGTTGTTTTCCGCTAACACAATTTCTGAAAAAGAATACATGGTCTAGAAGCTAGGGGGTTCAAATCCAAAGGGGTGAGAAAAGGATATCAGACCGATCAAAACGCGAACACACTTGCGGGTCCTCGGTAGAGAACCAAGATCAATGAGATCAGCTTCCCTCAGTTTCCCCCTACATGGAGTTCAGTGCGGGGCCCGTCATTCCTACCCATGCCAAGAATCTGAGAACCAGCAAAACGGAGAAAACAACGGCTAAGCCTTGTGGACCCTTAGCTGTGGTTTTTCATCAAACCCCAGACATGGCACTCCAAGCTCTGTGTCAAATTAACAACGCCCCAGACATGGCTATCCCACCCCCCAAAAAGCGGGGCAAACCAACTTTCGCACCTACACCCGGGGAACAGCATACGTTTTGTCTTACAGAGCAAACACATAATAATAAGTAAAATGATTTGAAAAAAACAAAGTGCCACCCAGCGGCTCGATCCAGCATCCTGCCCCAGGCCGGCGTCCGGCGCACCTCCGCATCCGGTGCCAGCCTTAGGAACTCTTAGAGCTGCAAGGCTGGCCAGCCGTGGTTAAAACCATATGTGAAATGACAAAACCTTGGTGTAGCCACCATGGTTTAATCCAAAACCATCAATTCTGACCTACCCTTGCGGGCCGTTCTTTCCCGCTTTTCCGATCGCGTCCGAGGCGTGCGATCGCCGAATCCGGGGCGATGGCGCCAGCACGCGGAGGGCCGTGAGCAGGTGCACGGTGTCGAAGGAGTCCCCGAAGCGCTCGAAGAGGCGCACCGCCTGCGTGGAATCGCCCAAAGGACGAGTCGCAGACTTGCCCAAAGGATCTGGACAAAGGTGAATCACCTGTTTGGATCCAAAGGACGAAGCATATCTAAACCAAATTGGGGTGGAAATACGGTTTTGCTTGAAATTAAGCAGGGGACCGCAGGTTTTAGTCCTTGGTTCCATTTACCAGGGTTTTGGCGTACCTATTTTTTGACCCACAGCCATATAAAGGTGAATTTACTTTGCTGGAACCAAAGGGCGAAGTGTATCTAAGCCAAATTGGGGAACCCGGAGGGTGAAAAGGTCGAGAACCTCGCCGTTCCCCACAAAAGGATACCAAAGTTGCATGGCAGGTGCTGCCGAAGTGAGCTGTCCCATCCCTATGACCCTCTCCGTCACTTTGCATGGGATACCTGAACGGGCCAGGAATCAGCTTCGCCCCAAACTATGTACCCTTTCAAGGGCGAGGAACCCCTTGGCCAGCTCATAGCGAAATGGAATCACTGGCATTTGTTTGGATTGATCAAGCCAAACATGTATGAGAGGCCCAGGTCATGCTGACCCCAGATTCGTCAGCCTGGTGAAGAAGAAAGGGCGACGTTCAACCCCAATGAGACACCCCCGATTGGTCAGCCAGGCGGGTTGTGCATCTTAGGTCTTCGGCTCCCATTGTTTCCGGGCTGACTGGTTATTCTCTGCACAAGGATTTGAACCCTCTAAAGCGCCCGCTTGATTCTTCGGGCTGCAAAAAACACATGAGAAGCTGTGGATTTATAAACATCAAGCCTTCCACGAGCATGTGACTTACAATAGTGCCAAACTGTTGGTGGCTTTCGTTTTGGTGTCCCTCTAAAAACACCCATCCAACTATTGCCAAACTTAGGAACCAATGCCTTCAGGCGCTTGGTTCAAAAACATTGAGGGAACCTTTGAGAGTTGGTAGCAGGGAAACCAAGAAGGAGACCCTTGCCATCATTGGAAATGGACCGATCTTCTTCGAGAAACGACCCATACTTCGGAAGTAAAAGGCAAATCAGGGTGTGACATCGAAGAAGTGGCAAGGGCTTCCCTTTGGTTCCTTTTTTTGACCATCCAGAACGAGTTCCCTGAAAAAAGGACCCTGCACATTGTTCCTTTAAGATCCGAACACAGCCTCACGCCTCACGCCTTGCGCGCCTCGCCCGGCCCCGGCCTCGAGGGGCTCCGCCCGGCTGAGCCGCCGCTGCAGGCCGAAGCCGGCGCCGCCGCCCTCGGCCGCGGCGCCCTTGGAGCCCAGCAGGGACCTGCGGCCGTGGGGAAGTTCTCATGGGGCCCCGTGGGCTGGATTTTGGTCGGCTCCCGCAACCAAGGAACGAGCACGGGAGTCCTCGGCATCAGAACCCCACTTGGCGCTTTGGGATAGGCAGGTAGCGAGAATTGGAATGACCCCCCAAAGAAAACCAAAGAAAACCATTCGTTTCCTCCGGCGTCCTTTCCAAAGAATGCCCCAAAATGTTCGCTCCCGAACTTTGGGTCGTTCGATATATCGCACCAGCAAGAAAAGAAAATCGGAGCCCCGGACTCCGAAGGCACCTCCACGTGCTGAACGCGCGGAATCCCAGTCGCGGAATCCGCCGCCATGGGACCCGAGCATGGGACCCGCCCATCCGGGCTCCAAGCCCGAAGCAGAAGGTCAAGCAGGTTTTGGAGGTGACATGGAGACTTTTGTGGGTGAAATGGAGACTTTTGGGTGAGAAGGAGACTTTTGTGGGTGAAAAGGAGACTTTTGTGGGTGAAATCGAGAAGCAGCAAGTTTCAACACTGCAAAAGGTCCAAGACAAGCCAAGTTTCAGAAAGGTCTGAGGTCCTCCTTGCGGCAGGCATCTCCAAAGCGACACCCATACAGACTCCAAAAGGTCCAAGCGGCGATTCGGTCACACCAAGCCATCCGAGCCAAAGGCTTCGCAAGGCAGGGAATGAGCTAGAACTGCTTCCCCAAACCCAAAGGAAATCTCTGAGGATCCCAAAGGAACCCCAAGGAACGCCTAAGCAAAACCTCAGGAACCCTATAACCTCGTCTAGCTAACCCACTTGAGCCTGGCCCCCTTTAAAAAATGCCTGAAACCACTGCTAAGGTCCCGACCTCTCAACACTGCAGGGGACTCACCAAAGTTGGGTCTGAGGACCTCGCGTAGTGTCTCACTTTCATCGATTGGTCAGAGATTCTTACCAAACTTGGTTGGCACCACCAAAAGTTAAAAGGAGTTAACATCTCAAGTGGTTCAAGTCCCGAAACATAACGGTTCCTCTGAGGTGTTACACTGTGCAATGTGCGTTTGTTTGTTGTTGCACGTGCTTCCTGCTGGTTGCTGGTTGGTTGTCCTTTGTGGCGAATTGTGCTCTCTTTTCTGTAGGGACTGATCGACCAACATCTGAGTCTGAGCTTCAAGAAAAGGCGCAACTTCTTTCCCACCAATGCAAAGCAGCTTCACAAAGTGTGGCCTTAAACTAGCTCAGTTTGTTACTCCGAATCAAACATGAGACGGTTTGTGGTCTCATTTTCCGTGAACCTTGAAACGCAACATTTGCAAGGAGCTCCTGGTGAACCCCCAAACGAGAAATCTGGCTTACATCCCATCACAACAAAGGAAACTCAACCTGTGGCCAAACAGTCCATGTGTGCAGTATCTACCTACCCGACCTCTCAACACTGCAGGGGACTCACCAAAGTTGGGTCTGTTCAGGGGGTGATCTGTTAACCTCCACGGATACGTCCAATGGAAAAAGGCAAAAACATATGTCCAGCACTAGATTCCCTTTACAACCAAGGAAACTAAACAAGATAAGCAAATGGAAGTTGTAACATTAAGCCGCCCGCGCTTCAAACGGCAACTGAGTCAAGGACCCTTAAGATCCGTGGATTCTGTGGATGGTCCTTGAGTGGATTGATTGAAACGGAGGTGTTTAGTGCAGTCCTCCAACAACTTTCGCCTACTGCTCCCCAAAAACACCTCCAGCGTTTGCCTAGTCTTCCCCAAGAATGCGCCCCTTTTTGGGAGGTCCGACATCGGCACAGCAACGCCCCCGACAAGATTGCCAGACCTTTTTGTGTTTTGTAGGCTGTTGGAAAGGGGAAATGCAATATGAGGGATGAACAGGGATCAACATGGAATAGCTAATTTCATTGTCCTGATATTGTCCTATGACCATGAAGTAAGTAATTATTGGGCAACCCGATTCCAATCATCATTCATCCGCTCATTCCAGAGCCTTGCCCCGAGGCACTGCTCCTCAAGCATCGCATCATGCGCGCCGCTTCGCGCAGTGTCGTGCGACTGCACGCCTAGCATATTCCTTCACGTGGACAGCCGGGGCCAGGTAGTCATAGCCACCGTGACCGGAAGTTGCAATCTTGAATTACTGGAAAAGAGGAGCAAAGTCCCCTTCAGCCCATCCGCAAACCACCTGCTTGCAAAACGCGACTGCTCTGTCAAAACGCTTCTTACCCTGAAATTGTCCACGCGGGAAACGCAGCTCAGGGCCCTGCGGCGCCATTAGCAAAAGCTGGTGGCGCCTGAAACACATGCGAGGACCTCGCGTAGTGTCTCACTTTCATCGATTGGTCAGAGAATCTTACCAAACTTGTTTGGCACCACCAAAAGTTAAAAGGAACATCTCAAGTGTTTCAAGTCCCGAAACATAACGATTCCTCTGAGGTGTTACACTGTGCAATGTGTGTTTGTTTGTTGTTGCACGTGCTTCCTGCTGGTTGCTGGTTGGTTGTCCTTTGTGGCGAATTGTGCTCTCTTTTCTGTAGGGACTGATCGACCAACATCTGATTCTGAGCTTCAAGAAAAGGCGCAACTTCTTTGGGTGAAACCCCACCAATGCAAAGTGTGGCCCTAAACTAGCTCAGTTTGTTACTCCGAATCAAACATGAGATGGTTTGTGGTCTCATTTTCCGTGAACCTTGAAACGCAACATTTGCAAGGAGCTCCCGGTGAACCCCCAAACGAGAAATCTGGCTTACATCCCATCACAACAAAGGAAACTCAACCTGTGGCCAAACAGTCCATGTGTTCAGTATCTACCCACATTTACTCCCCAGGATGGGTCAAAGTGGCATGCATATAACTGTATAATTGTGGTGTATATACATATATAGAGAAAGAGAGAGACGGAGAGAGAGAGAGTGAGAGAGAGATTCATGCCAATCCAGCCCCCTTCCAAAACATCCGGCCCGATGAGCGGAATCTGCGGGGGACTCCACATCGCCCATTCGCATGTGTCCCATCAAGTTCCGTGTCCTGCTGCTCGGTCTTGAGACCCCAAACAAAAAGCGTTGCTTGGTTGTGAGCTTCTCCCCAACTAAAAAAAAATGCCTGACCCGAAAAAGAGGAAAAACCGAAAAAATAAAAACCGCAACTCTTCGTTGATTTCCGCGCCTCTGTCCTCGTCTCCCGGTCACCGAGCACCGGACCGTCCCGTGGCAATCTCCCGTCGCATCGCCCAATATGTATATAATACTGTATATAACACATATGTATGTATATATATATATATTATGTATTCACAGATTGTGCGAGTATGGCCAAAGTAGTGATGTTTGAATCTAAGAAGTCAGGCGCCACCGCATCTGCCCAGGCTGCCAGCCTCACACCCTTGGCGAGCGCCTTGGAGGACGACATGAAGCAAACGACGTTGCTCGAGATTCGAGAAAGAATCAGTAACACGTTTGCTCGGGTAAGGCGGAACATGCTGGTCCCGTCATAGTCACTGTTAGGCTCCCCTTGCTATTATGGCTGACCTTCGCCCGGCAAGAACGCTAAATGCAGGGCACGGAAATTAAGCAGATGTGGGTAATAGGTGTTGGGCACAGTCCTGCTTCGGTACATGGGTTTGTCTCAAAACGGTGGAAACTCCAAAGTGGGCGCTTTCGTTTTGTTTTTCCTTTGAAGCTTTGAAGCACCCGTAAAAAAGGTGTCCTCAAAAATTGATTACACCAATAATATTGCACCAGGTGAAGAACAAATAGGCCAGCCCGTTTCCAACAACATGGCTTCAATTACTGTGTGTTTCTCCATAGCTGCGTGTTGATAGAAGGCACTGGCAATGAGCCACGAAAGCTGCACTTGCTACAGTATCCTTTGCAATGCTCACGCTTGATGACGGCCCCTCTGTGTGTGTGTGACAATACTTCCACGGCGTGTCAAGTTGCCTCCCATGGTCAAAGTCGGATTTGGGTGGCTTTGAAGTGCTAACAATCAATGCCGACCGAGCAAATCCCCCACAAACCAAATCATCTTGTAACGCCACGTCAAAGAGCCTGCGATGGCTCAGCAGGCTTGCGAAACATGGCCCTTGTACCCAAAAAAGATCTGTCTGAGCAACATATTATGTTTATTGAAATTCCGGTTCACAATTAGTCGTTCCAAAATTGTTTTCTCTGGAGAAGTGTCCTATTCAACACTGATATGTTTAAGCTTCTGCCCAAGTCTGCCTGGGCCCACCACAGCAAGACTACGGGAAGACTACAGAAAGACTGGGATTGGAACTAATGAAAGAGTTGAACAAGAGTGATTGATTACATGTTTGTCAATGCCTTCAAATGAGCATGTTCCAAACCCGTGCAGGTGGTCTTTTGCTTGCAATTGTATGAATTGGAATGACATGGGGCATTGAACAATGCAATTGGCAAGCGCAAGCGGCAACAAAATCCTTGAAAACCGACCAAACCCTTGAACACTTGCCGGACCAAAGCGCAAATAAAAGGCAACAGAAAGACTAGATAATTAAACAAATACAAACGCAAGCTTCATTGCTCAAGTAGAAGAAATCATGTGAATACAAAAAGCGCAAACATTGCCCCACAGGAACAGTGTCACATAACCCTTCCACCACCCCTCCCCGCACCTACACCCGCATCAGAGGCACAGCAGCACATTCGCCAGCTCAAAGTCGTCCCACAGCCCAGCGGCCTCCTGTACAGGGTGAGCGCATTACCAAGAGGGTGAGCGGATTACGAAGAACGAATAAAGGCTTGGTCCTTGGGCGAAAAACCCCTAAAGGCCCCCTAAGGATGACGGATTGTTGACGAGGCTGACGAGGCCAGAAAGGCACACTTGCCCCCGCCTCCGAGGCGACATGCGGGGTGTAGGTCGTGGACTGGCGGACCTGTCCTGAGCCAACGAGTTTCTGCTGGGGACCTATGTCAATACCTGCAGGTCCCTGAGCCAGTTCAACCACCCCACTCCAATGCTACTTGCTATCATTCGCGAACGTTGGCCATTGGCCTTGGGGATTATAAGGCCAATCTTGCTCATACATCCAAAATGTTGGTTCGACAAATGCATGTTCGACAATTCTCTTGCGAGCAAATCACGCCAAATCACGGTAATACATTGATGTACACCCAAATGTGGCTTACATTTGGCCGAAATGTACGCCAAATCATGCCCCATCACGGCATCCGAGAAAGTCATAGATTCCAATAAGCCCAATGTTGCCAAACTATGCCTACATCTCGAATGTTGCTCTGAGAGGCCTACGCTTGAATGCAAGTAAATGTGCGTGGGAACTCTCGGGCCATCTACGTCGAAGCCAAGCGACGGGCCACTGCCTGCCACGGCACCCGCCGTGGCTGCGCGTCCTGAAAGTCATTTTTTTGCCTCTAACGACTCAGTGCGTGTGAGTCTGTTGAGGGAGGGCGGGGGAGTTGAGCTTCCGACCTTTGGGGTTTCGAAGGGACCAGGGCACCCAGCCTCGTGAGAAACGACTTCCCAGATCTGTTCGTACAAACAGCTTCCCTGAAAAGCCGTGGCAAAAACTAGAGCTAGCCCACCACCCGACCAATCCTCGCCCGTTGCTCTCCTCATGGGCGTGTCTTCAGGCGGGATCTGATCCTGGAGGAAGGTATAAATTCTGGGTGAGGTTCGTTACTCTCTAGGTTACTCTTGCAAGGTTGTCGCGTTGTGGGCGGAGCCTTTTGAACATTACCATCAAATCAAACAGTTTTCTTGATTGTTCTACTGCCCATGCAAGTGTATGAGCTGAACATGAATTTACTTGGCATCTGGGTGGCCACGCTTTGCTGCCATTGCAAATGCGAGCACCCAATTTGCACTTGGCAGGGGAAGCAAACCACAAGAGGCACAAGCAGTCTTCAGCTGGTGCCCAAAAAATGCAACACGACTTTGTAGCTCGCCCAGACGATTACTTGGTACAATTACACCTATGGACTAGCTTCATGTTGATGCCAGTCTCATGATGCCTTTTCAATACGGGTGTTTCGCATGTCACAAAGCACAGGCCGGGAAAAATTGGGGTATGAAATCTGGCCCAAGTAGTGGCTTTCATTCGCATAGAGGTTCTGTCCACCAACCCTTTTCGAGTTCCCAAATTCATCGCGTCCAGGCCACCCAAGAGTGACTAGTCGATCTTACGTGGGGTCTGGGATGCTCGCCTAACCCCTGCTTTGCACAGCTTCAGCTTCGCTTTTGAGATCCTGACTGCTTTTGGACAGTGCCCGTCGTTTCTGTGAACCCTGGTAAACAGGGGCTCTGAAACAAAACGCACATTAAACATATCAATAACTGTTGCTTCTTTGGTACCCAATGCAAAGAAGTGGAATGATTCAGTAGTTTCCACTTATTCAGGGAAAGGGAATTCGCGCCCAATCTCAGCTTCCCTCCAATTGGTGATTTTGAGCCCGGTGGTTTGGTGGTTTGGGGGAGGCTTCCCATTTACCCCACCAATCTAAACCACCAATTGGAAGGAAGCTGACAATCGACTTGGCAACCGTTGCCGCAAAAAGCGCCTCCTCCCAGGCGCACTGCTGAGCCGCGGGCCGGCCACCTAGCCGGGTGCACTGGACAGGACATACACAGCTCCTCTCCTCTTTGGGTTCCTGACTGGCACAAGGAGCGGACTCATGAATTGGGGGATTTGCGAGAAAAGCCCCGAATACCGAAAGGAACCACTCGGTGGGGATCCAACATGTCGCAACGTTGTCTGTGCAGGCATGCTGTTTTTGCCCAATTCGCTAGGCTACCAGCACGACACAAAAACCCAAGGCCTTTCGACACAGATCAGATATTTCAGGGTTAATGGGCTTCAAGGCACAGGCTCGCTCCATATTGAGCCCAGCTTACCTCTCGCAACAGCTTGACCCCCCCTGGTGAGCACATCAAGCACAATCGGGGCCCAGAAGACCTGCCATGAACGGAAACATGGGAGAGCCAAGGCTACGTGAGCATGCGGTGGATTTCCCAAGACAAGTGAACCAACCACATCCAACCACAACACCCCTAATCGCGGTAAGCCACAGCATTTCCCTTGTGAATCAAGCATACCCTTTCGACCCCAGGCTGTTCAAGTGGACACCACTCTCACTGGCCTCCTGGTCCGGCAATGCGTCTCCCTTGGCCACACGCTCGATGAGGC